TATTCCAGCAAGATGTTTGATGAAATGCCTCAATAAGCAACAGTTTAATATACCAACTCATTCAGATAATAACAATTTAACCTCAAACATAACAATGTGCTTCAAAATATAGCAGTTTATGTCAAATACCACTGTGAAATTTTGTCGAGACGATAGACATGACAACTTAAGGTACTCATGGAGGGGAGGAGGTTGCAGAGACGGGATAGGCGAAGGGTTAAAGAGTCGGAGCGTGGGAGAGAAAACAGAGGGAATAAGATATGCAGAATGTGGGGATTTCCAGCTCCGGGCGTTTTAGAAGAAGAAGGCACGTCTTTAATCTTATGTTTCTGGCTTACATATTTTTGTAGCGTTTTTATGTGTTACGTAATCTACAAACCTGATTGATAAAGAAATAACAACACCTCTGAGATTGGTCTTATGAGGATCATAGGCAGCCAAGGGTGCATTGTAGGAGCCAATATATGTTGTTTTCAAATAACAAAAATATCTATTTTCCAAATAACAAAAGACAACTAATCATGATAGTTGCTAGCCGTGAACGCAAAATATTTTCGGAAAGATTCAGAATTAGTTTATTAATAATTTCAAGAAAAAATTATTACTTAAAACTCATATAAACACAACTTCTTTTCACTAATGCATGTACAAGTTTGAAACATGCACAGCCTACCATATTAACTTGCAATCATAAACTACACTTTAAAAAGAAAGAAAAAAAACCCTTCCCCAAGAGTCATGACAGAGCCAAGATTTTATTCTAATGGTGTCTTCATGTAACTTATGAGTTCATTGAAGTTAGCAATGTCTAGGATTATCCTCCACAATGGTATCCTAACCTAATTTTAGTGTTTTCCTAAATAATAAATACATGTAAAAGTAAGTTTTTTTAAAAAAGTAGGCAATCCAGTGGTGTCATGTAACACCATTAGGCGCTCTATATGCACTTCCACCATTGTCAAGACTGAAAAGGATTAGTACTGCAGCACCCAAATTTGACCACGACAAAGTGGACACGACGAATGCATCACCAACCATTGATCAATACACTTTATATGAAACCTATGACTGCAATTAGGCAGCACCCTGACCTTCTCTTTAACATTGTATTCCTGCAAACAAATCGCACAGGAAGACTTAGATTGATCTCCTTCCACATCCTCGACCCCCACAGAAACCCAACCAATCTCCTCCATCTTCAGCAGGCGCTCGACATCAGTGACAACCGAATCGTGATGATCATCAACATCAATGACAACTAAAGCATGGCGCTGCACAATTTTTATGCACTTCTCCGTGAGGTTGATAAAGGCAGCCAACATGACAAACATGACGGCAGCACCAGCACCAGCAGCCGCAGGATTGATGTGAGGGGCGACATCAATTACCACAAAAACAGAAGCAGCAGCGGCTGCAGCAAGAGGGATATGATCAGTGGCTGCAGAATTGTGACGTTGTATGTAGTGCTCGATGAAGAGCTTGATGAACATCATAAAGTGGATGAACGTGAGGGCCAACCAAATATCAAAGATGACGGTTTCTGCCATCGCCATGGACACCATCTTGAAGAACTTGAAGAAAGAAAGTAGGTAGAGGGAGGCAGAGAGAGAGAGAGAGATTAAATAAGAAGAGAACTTCAGAGCGAGGGCTTTAATTTCGGTCGGATCGTGATTTTCTTGGGTCATTATTTATTAGGAAATATATACAATTAGGATTAGGATTAGGAGTCCCATTTTGTGGAGAATTCCTAGAATCTGTTACATGCGCTAATAATATTAGCTCATTCCGTATTGCTCATAATTAAAAAAAAATTTACAAGATTTATAAAAATATCATTTATGGAGTCCACATAGTGAGGAGATATCATTAATGAACTGTAGATGATTTTTACCCTCTACTTTCACTCACTAGGAGTGGGAGAGACGGAGAGACGTGTAGTAAAAAATTTGGAAAGAATTAATGGGCCCATGGATCGAGAATTTTTTTTTAATTTTCTTTTTGGTAAAATTAGTCATAAATTATTCACCGCGGGTGAAGTTGACTATTGGGAGGTTCCAATATGGCTCCTACGCTCTTCGGTTCGATTTCGAGTTGGGTTATAATTTTGTCCCTTGATCCATTGAAATTTCTATTATGCCTACTGATTCTTAAGTTATTTAAAAATTAGTCATCCTAAACCATTAAAATTTCTATTATGTCTTCTGATTGTTAAGTTATTTTAAAATTAGTCATCCTAAATTTTGTCCCTCGATCCCTTGAAATTTCTATTATGATTTTTCATTCTTAAGTTATTTTAAAATTAGTCATCCTAATCAAGAGAAAAAGTAGCATGCATGGTTTAGTTTGAAACAAAGTATGAAAATATGGGGACATAATATTAATTAATTTTAATGATTAGAAGGACTAATCTCAGAATAACTTAAGAATAGAAGGATTTAATAGTAGTTTTAGTGGTTTGGCCTACTAATTCGAAACATGAAAGATTTAAGAGATTATTGAAAATCTCAAAAAACAAATCAAACAAAACTTTAAGTAGCGTTCAGCAAGTCTTTCATGATTTGCTTTTCGTGTTTTTTATTCCTGGAATCATTGCCCGTTAAGTAGTTGTGTGCAATGAATGCCCTGACATTTTTGGAGGATTATTTAAAAAAAACGAGAAAAAAGTTTTACGTGGGAGATATAACGTATTGTTAAGAAGATATATTTTGAAATTAAAAGAAACAGAAAAGACTTCATTAGATGCTTAACTTAGAAAAGACATGTAGAGTTATTATTTAAGAAGAATTATTTGTAACAAATTAAAATATAATGAATTATATAAAGATTAATGTAAATTGTTGACTCGTGCATCTAAATTCAATCACTAAGGTCAAATTCTGGTTGTTTGTGCTCCTAAAAGACTTGCTAAAGTATTTTTAAGGTTTTTTTTTTCTAGAAACCGCCCTAAAAATAAGATCATTATGCAGAAATCACTTTTTCTTTTAGTTTATACGTAAATTATCTTTAAAGTGTGTTTGTTTTCCAATGAACCACCTACCTGTTAAACATACCCATAAAACTCACATTCAAGACACGCGGCTGACTTTGCTAATGTTTGGGTTTAGTTAGGATACATGTCATAAATATTAACGTGCATTTTTAAGCTTCTTTTTTGTTTTTAGTGAAAATTTAACTAGGAGATGAACGACTAGAACAAAAGATTAATTTAATATTAATCCATCACTTCTATGTCTTAAACCAAATCAAATTAATTTAGCTAATTTAAATTAGTTACTTTTTTGTTTAACCAATTGTAAGAAACCACCTTGATGTTTACCTTGTTCAGCAAAATACCCCCTCATCTAAGAAGCATCTACCTACAAAGTTCAACTTAAAAAAAAAAAAACCTCTCGTATAAAATTAAAGCATCTACGAACTTCAATAAAACAAACCTTCGCATGTGATCGTTGATCAATTACTGTTTTACATTGAAGTTTTGTTCGTGAGGCACATGGGCATGCATCCTTGAAGGCTTGAAGTCTAGTAACAATATGAAGAGTTAATTTTACTTTACCCGCACACTAAATTTTTCTGCTATTTTCTTCATTTCAGCTCTTAAAAAAAACTATGGCTTTCGACATGTATACATTTATTCGCATATTTCAAATGCACTAATTAATGGAAAAAAGTATTGTGGTTCTACGAACAAACAAATTCATTTACAAGGTTGAAACATGCATAAGATCGATGCTAGTACAAATTAAGTTAGAGCAGCGCCCTAATTCGCCCACGACAAAGCGGACACGACGAATGCAGCAGCAACCACCGGTCAACACAGTTCACGTGAAACCCATGGGTGCAATTGGGCAGCACCCTGATCTCCTCTTTCGCCTCATACTCTTGCAAACAAATCGAACAACAATCTTCAGGTTCTCCTTCGACGGCGAGAACCAAACCAACGCCTTGTATTATTCGGAGGCGTTCCTCCGTATCAACGACGACATAAGAAGTAGTAATAGCAGCAGCATCTAGAGGGGGAGCATCGTGATGACTCATCATGCGGCTGAGGCATCCTTCCACGAGGATGCCCAAGGTGACGAAGATGACGATGAAGGTAACCTCGCCCACGAGGAGTTGGATGAGGTCGGACTGCATTCTTGAAGAACTTGAAGTAGCGCCCAAATTATCGATCGATGAATTGCAACACGTTAGAGTCCTACTACGGGACCATCTTTCTCAACTAGTGAAAAAATAAAAATAGAAAAAATTATATATATATATATATATAGAGAGAGAGAGAGAGGTTTGAGAGAGTCCGTAGTGGTAATCATGTAGGAAATAGGATTAGGAATATTAGCGACTGCTCAAGGGTAATCTGACTCGGAGTAGGAGAGAGGAGGCGCAGGAACAAAGTAGAAGTCCCTTCACTTTTTCCACAATAGAGTGTACTCGTATATTCCATTAAACACTATAGTTTTGCAATATTAGACTTTTAGAGAAAAATTTATTTGCCCCCCTCCCAGGAAAATTTTCTAGATCCATCACTAATTAGATGCCTTACTTAGAAAAGAGACATGTTAGAGTTACTATTCATAATAAAAATTATTTTGAACAAATTAAGGTATAAAGAATTATAAATATTAAATTTATCAAATTTATTTAGAAAGTATGGATTCTAGTGTTAGACATTTTATCGAAAGTCAATGACTAAAAGCAAATTATTAAGACCAAATTTTCACTTAGAATCCTCCTTCGCGACGATAATATAGCCTATATGTCTATAGTGCCCCTGAAAACCTCTATGTAGACATCTTTCACTTTTTTACACCGAAACTCCTAAAATTTACTGAGTACAGATCATATTAGAACCAATTCTGTAGATCACTCTATGTAGACCCTATAGTGTGAACGTGGGCCACCACGTTCTCAATGTGAACGCATGAAAGGAGATTCCGCTTTGGTGGGGGCCACGGATGTGCGTGAGCAGCAACGAACGCGGTTTGTTTCCGTGTGGTGATGGCCAACCCGAATATCTCAACTTGAGATATAAATACCTCCGCGTTTTCTTCCCTAGGGCTTGGTGCAAGGAGGCGTACAGGTGCAATTGAGGTAGGAGGTTTTTTGTTTGCGGCTAGGGCGTGAAAAAGAGGTGCGGCTGATTCTTCCTTTTGGCGGCTGCAGAGAAAGAGGGTGAAAAGAAAACTTTTGGGTGGCGTGCAAGCAAAGCAGAGAGAGAAAAGCAGATTGCTTTTTTGCTGTTTTGAAGAAGAGTTCTGTGCAGCGTCTTTTAGGTTTTAGTATCCCTTTTGTGAGAGATTGAGAGATTGTTTGAGGGTTTAAATTTGAGAGATTGTAAACCCTATTTGTATTCTCTGTGAAGAGAGTTTTGTGCAGTCTCTTGTGTTTTCTTTTGTGAGAGATTAGAGAGTTAGTTTGAGGGTTTATTTTGTGAGATTGTAAACCTATTGTATTTTCTCTCTAATAGTAGATCCTCCTCCTTGCCCCGTGGACGTAGGCAGTTTGCCGAACCACGTAAAATTGGTTGTTTGAGTTTGTGGCCATTGTAATAGTTTTTAGGATCCCTCGACGCGCAGTCCTAGAGCTGACGAGAGGAAGAGCAAATATCCCACTTTGATGGGATATTAGGCTTTCAGATTCTTGTTCCCTTTGAGAAACAAGAATTCTTATCGATCTTTCTCTCTTATTGTGCACCAGAAACTCTGCCGAAATTTCCGCTGCGCACAACAAGTGGTATCAGAGCCCAGATTCCAGATCTAGGGTTTGGTTGGAGGAGTAGATCAATTTGGAGGCTCGTTTAGGGCTTCGTTGGTGATAAAGGTGGGATCTTTTTTGGTAAAGACTCTATCTTTTTAGTTTTGGATCTATTCTTCGTTCGTTGGTGCGTAAGATGTCGGGGAAAGAAGGTGCTTCGGGAGTCGAGGGTGGTTCTTCTGGCGTGAAGACTATTCAGAGTTTGAATATCCACTCTATGAAGATAGATGTGGAGAAATTTAATGGCACAAACAACTTTGGATTATGGAGATGCGAGGTTTTGGATGCGCTGAACGCGCAGAATTTGGAGGATACCTTGGAGTTAGATGGCAAGCCAGATGAGATTGAAGAGAAGGTTTGGAAAAAGATGAATCGAACGGCGTGTGGTGTGATTAGGTCTTGTTTGACTCAAGATCTAAAATATGATGTGATGAATGAGACTTCTGCGAAGAAGATTTGGGAGATTCTCGAAAGCAAGTATTTGACCAAGAGTGTGGAAAATCGCTTGCATTTGAAGAGGAGACTTTATCGTTTCCAGTTGAAGAAGGGAACCTCCATTAGAGATCACATGAACCACTACACAAAGCTTCTTGCGGATTTGGCGAATGTGGATGTTAAGATTGAAGATGAGGACAAGGCGTTGTTGCTATTGAGTTCCTTGCCCGACGAGGAATATGAGACCTTCGTCCTTACTCTTATTAATGGGAAGGCATCCCTTTCGTATAGTGAGGTCACTGCTGCACTTGTGAATTATCAGCTTCGAAAGAAGGATAAAGAGGCTTCAGTTGAGCCGGTAGCGGAGGGGGTGGGCGCAATCAGCTTCGAAAGAAGGATAAGGAGGCTTCGGTTGAGCCGGTAGCGGAGGCGTTGGTCGCAAGAGGGAAGGGTCC